CATGCAAGGGGGTGGGGGGGGGACGGGGGGAGAATGGGGTGTCCTTCTCTAGAGTAAGAGATGCTAGCCAACAGTGAGAATTTTAGTTAACACAGACTGCTGGTGATGACGGCCAAGGTCAGCCAACAAAGGGCCCATTAGTCCCCAGGCACAGAACTGGGCCAGGGCTGGGAAGAAAATTCTACAGGCTGCTTCCCCTCTCCTATCTGTAAGGTTAGGCGAACTGGGGATTTGGAAAGGAAAATAAAGCGGGCGATGCCCCAATGATTGTTAGTAAGCCAGTTATATCTTCGACAAAGCAATGCTGGCCTTCTTACAATGACCATGATAGGTGATCTAGGAAGAACCTTTTCTTCAATCCCTGGGGCTAATCCTTGAGAAACATCCTGCCTCAGTAATTTGGTGCCAAAATTAGTCATCTGGCCCTCCGTAAGTGCTACAGCTCACCTCTCCCACTGTGACCAGAAACAGCACCAAGGAATCCAACCAGTCCCTCCAGCAGGACACCTGGACGCCTCTTCCCTTCTGCAGACGTGGACAGTAACGGACAGTACAGATTGACATCCCCTCTGGGTTCCCCTACAGGACTCTTCGTGGCTCACATGTCCTCTATTTGCAGTCCTTTATCAGGCATAAGGAAACCCCCGTGTTCCCCTCAGAAGCAGAGTGAGGTGACAGTTCTGGTGGCTTATGCCCAGGCTCTGGGAGTGTCCCCAAGTGCACAACCGTGGGCATTGATTATGGTTCTATGCTGGTTTGGATGATTCAGTTCAAGGTTGAGGGAAGCTGGGAACCCCAGAACTAATGGAATTCCTTAACTGTAGCATCTCCTGACTTTAGAAGGGGAGTTCCTTTCAGAAAATAAACTAAGGGGCTGACCCTGTTGCCTAGTGGTTTAGGAAGCTGGATGCAACATGGCCAACTGCAGTTTGAATTCCAACCCTGATGGCTCAAAGAACATGCCAGGTGTGTTTGCCTGGTGAAAATCTCGATGGGATGGAGAAATGGAGAAGGGATTGTGGTGTGACCACACCCTGTGTGTGTGTGTGTGTGTGGGGGGGTGCTGTCACCTCCCGCTTCCCTCCCTGTGAGCAATGCAGTCTGGCAATTGGGTATTGGGAAAAAATAAAATAAAACAAGTCTTTTCAAATGGCTTCCAGCTGAGATGAGGAGCACAATTCACTGTCCACATCACTCTCCTTCCCTGAACACCTTAGGTCATTTGCTATCTCCACTGTGTCCCATGCACAACGACCTCAGTTACTAGACCATGTCTAGTCTTGACCCAGGAAACACACAATTCCAGTGTATGGCGACTACTTTTCCCTTTTTCAAAAGATTAGAAACAGCAAATTACCTATGCATGAGAAAGGGACATCACTCTTTGAAGGGAAAAGTAGTATTCATTTGTCAGATACTGAATGCCTGCTCTGTGCTAGGCACTAGGGACAAGGTAGCAAGCAAGACCAAGCTCCCGCCCTCTCTCAAATATGTGACTGCACAAATTACTACAGATGTGATAAATGCCAAAGCAGGCAGGTGCTACAGGGCTTACAGCAGACCCAAATTGTTGAGATGATGGGAGGCCTTGGGAAATGGAGGCTTCAGCTGAGACACAAAACTTCACACAGGCCACAAAGAGGAGGCAGGTGTGAGAAGTTTGGCACCTAGGAGCCTCTAAGAAGCTGGTGTAGTTTGGGCAGGGAAGGTGAACGGTGTGAGGTGAGGGTAGGGAGGTGGGCAAGGGGCCAGGCAAGGCCTCTTAGGCCACATCAAGGACCCCACGTGACTTATGATTTATGTTTTTAGACTCACACTACCTGGCATGTGGAGGATGGACTAAAGTGAGGCACATAGGTGGAAGAACGAACAGGCTATCACTGGAGTCTAGGGAGAGAAAACACGCTCACACGGGCAGCTTTGGCCATAGATATAAGGTAAAAATCAACGGGCTTAAGGTGGGTTACCTATGTCAAGTTAAGGGGAGGGAGGGAGGGAGGGACCAAAGGAAGTGCCAGGTAAGGTAATTCTGGCATAAGGGATTCAGTGGATGGTGGTGACATTTACTAAGGAAAAGTACCTATACGAGTTTTAGGGTGGGTCATAAACTCCATTTTGGATATGGTGACTGAAAGGTGCATATGAGTTGAGACCAGCAGTTGGCGTAATGGCTCTGTTGCTGGACTCCCATGCAGTCGACCACAGTTCAAGTCCCAGAAACAGTGACTTAAACTCATGCCAGGCACATGTGCGTGCGTGCCCAAGATCCCAAGAGGAGAATGGAGGAGAAGGGATTGTGGCGTGGCCATCCCCCCTGGGGGTGATTTCTCGCTTTCTAAGTCTGTCTCTGTCTTTCTGGTGAGCACATGTGCCCTATAGCAAAAACCTCTCCAAAAAATAAAATTAAAATTAAAAAAATGAAAGGAGCATATGAGAAATCCTGGTGGAGATGGAGACAGAGTCATATAAAGGGACTACAAGATATTTGTGGAAAAATAGAATCTAAAGATGTTTGTGTGTAGAAGCTTGAAATTCCTGCGTAACTTTCATGATACACATTTTCCGTGAACTTTTTGAAGACCCTGTGGTGTCTGTATGTGCTGTCACCATCATGAGACTGCAAGTCTGCTGAGGGCAGGGAGACCTCAAATGCCCTGCGCCCCAAATGCAGGATGCACTGAAGGCACTCAAGCCAGTCAGTCCCGGACTCCAGCAAAAGCTTCCTTATGATACAAGACTTCAATACAGATTTCCCCAAATCACCACCTCTCATCTGCATCATACTGTACTATTAGAAGTGCTTTTCCATATCTTGTTTTTTGTTCACAATAAACCCTGAGGCAGGCGGTTTATAGGGAGGGCAAATACAGTGGGCCCCAACCCGCAGAAGAGGAAACAGGTCTGAGGCGGCGTCAGTCACCGTGGCGAAGGCCACACTAAACACCCAGACCGCAGCGTCAGACTTCAAGTTCGGTGCTTTTCCCAAATGAGCCGGCAGATCCAGCAGGGGCCACGCATGCGTTTGTACTTCACTCTCAGGAAAGGCCCGTGCAACTTCCCCCAGCAGTCCGCCGTCACGCTTTCAGTCCTTCCCACGCACACGCAACGGTGAAGACTGTCCTCCCTTCGGTTCCTGTTCAACAGGATGACTTGAATGGTCTCGCGCAGCCGTCCAGGTCCATGGGGTCCAGAAAATGCTGCCATTGTTCCGTACATTCCTCACTGTTGACTTCCCAGAGTTGAAATTCTTCCCAGTAAGAAAACCAGCCTAGCAGTTTAGAGTCATGCTTGACTTTTTAAAGTTAAAAATGGCACCATCAGCTGGAGCAGGTTCCTTAATCAACAGATTCTGGCCTGTTTCCTAAACTTCTATCTATCCTTTGAGGCCAAAACTTTACAAACACTGACTATATTCAGAGCACTTACCTCAGGCTCTGAGGGCACACCAGAAGCATTTGAGAAAGTTCAGCAGCTGGGACCAGCAGTTAGCATAATGGCTATGTCACTGGACTCCCATGCAGTCGACTGTGGTTCGAGTCCCAGACCCAGGGGCCTAAACTCACACCAGGCACGTGTGTGTGTGTGTGCCCAAGATCCTGAGAGGAGAATGGAGAAGGGATTGTGGCATGGCCATCCCCCCTGGGGGGGGTGATTTCTCACTTTCTGTCTCTCTGTCTCTGTCTGTCTTTCTGGCAAGCATATGCCCTATAGGAAAAACCTCTCCTCCCCCCCAAAAAAAAGAAAAAAAAGTAAGTTCAGCAGCAACAGCCCCTCTGCAGCAGGTACACTGAGGAGGAAACCCTCATGAGGAACATGTAACATCAACACTAATAAAATGAATGACTTGTGTGTTAAATAGCATTATGCTACTTCTATGGTCTAATTAAATCCTCCAAAGAATTCTAGGAGGTAAGAGAAAGGGCTATTTGATTAAACATCAAACATTACCACGTTGTCACGTTGGCGGAATGCCCTTATATCACAAAGGGCAAAAGTGAAATCCTGAAATTTGAGCTATGAACAGCACTCAGAGGGCTGGTCTGTGAGGGATCTGGTCCAAGCTGGTTCGTGTTCTGCCATTCCCACGTCAGCCTGGGCTTCGGCCCACTGTGCGTGGGTGCAGAGCATATGAAACAGAAGCAAGTATGCTTCTGCCTTCCGAGGAACTCGAGTAGGGCCTTTCCAATCCCACTAAGCCTACCTCGCTGGCTCTAAAGTGACTTCTACTGCACACATCTAAAATTGAAGGACACAAGGAACCCAATTTCAAGCTTATCTTTGCTCCTTCCCCCACCCCTGCCATTGAGTAGTGCAGTGAGTTTAAGTAATGAAGATTTAATCCAAGAATTTCTTCTTAAGTAGCACTTTGCTAAGCTGAAGTTTGGCACCAGATTCACTTTATGTACTTTAAAACCCGTTTCTGGAAAACCATCTCAGCCAGCGTGATCGGCTCTTATTTCTAGCTCTTCCTTCACAGTGACAGAATCACAGAAGGTGGCAGCCAGGTGAGGACTGCCATTCCTAAGAGGAAGACCAGCAGTGCATCCCAAACACAAGACTCCCAGCCGCAGTTCCCAGCACTCCTGCCGTGACCGTGAGCTTTAAACCATTCTACCACCTCCTGGAAGTCGAATGGCTGAGGCGTATAACCCAGTTCTCTCCTGGCTTTCTCTAAGCTGAAATAGTGTGTGACGCCAGTTTTGTACACTTCAGTACGAGTGAGGAAGGGCTGGAAGTCACAGAACCGACCCAGAACGAAGTGGGTCATCTCTGTCAGGAAAGCGAAGCAGTAGATGAGCGTCAAGGGCAGGCGGGTAGATGGGAAAGTGTAGCCCAGGCCCTCGACCAGAGGCCGGAAGAACTCAAAGTTGTTGACCGGCCTGCCATCTGAGATGAAGTAGGGCTGCCCAGAGGCAATGTGGCCCTTGTCGGCTTTCAGGGCCTCCGAGGCCAGAAAGTGGGCCTGTACCAGGTTATCCACGTGGACAAACTCAACCAGGCTCCTGGGGTCCCCGTACACAAACCTGAACAGGCCGCGCTCAAGGTAGCTCACTATCCTGGGAAGGTGCCTCTGCTCTCCGGGCCCATAGATGCCGGCTGACCTCAGTGCACAGGTTCTCAAGACCCCGTCACCTCGCTCTAGGACTGTACCGTTCGCCTCCAGCACCTTCTTCTCTGCAATGGATTTGGTGCGAGAGTAGTGATCAGGCTGGAGGTGAAGAGGAAAGTAAGGCAGAGATTCGTCCCCGTTTCTGATAACCTGACCCCCAAAGATGACATTGAAAGTGCTAGTGTAAACTAGTCTGGGCACCCCACTCCTCTGGCAGGCCTGGAGGATGTTGACTGTGCCCCTGACGTTGACGTCTTCGATCAGGCGGTGATTGAGCTGCTCCCGTCCTGACATCCCGTAAGAGGCGACGTGGAACACACACGTGAAGTCCGCAGCCTGGAAGGCTTTCTCTACATCTGAGAAGTGGCAGATGTTACCATGTACAAACTTGATTCCTTCTGGAATGCCTTGAGCAGGGCAGTTTATATCAAACAGAATCACGCGGATTCCCTTCTGGTTTAGAGCGCAGCCCAAGCTGAAATGAGAAAGTAAATGTTAGATCAAGTCACTTTTTTTTTTTAGAGGTTTTTGCCTTACAGCACATGGCCTCACTAGAGAGATGGAGACAGACAGACAAGACAGTGAGACTGAAAGTGAAAAATCACCCCCCAAGGGGGATGGCCATGTTGCAATCCCTTCTCCATTCTTCTCCTGGTTTTTTTTTTTTTGGAGAGGTTTTTCGCTATAGGGCACGTGCGCTCGTCAGACAGACAGAGAGAGACAGAGAGACAGAAAGCGAGAAATCAGCCCCCAGAGGGGATGGTCACACCGCAATCCCTTCTCCTCCATTCTCCTCTCGGGATCTTGGGCACGCACGCACACACGCCCGGCGTGAGTTTTAAGCCACCGGGTCCGGGACGCGAACCACGGTCAACTACGTGGGAGTCCAGCGACATAGCCATTACGCTAACTGCTGGTTCCCCTTCTCCTGGGATCTTGAGCACGCACACATTCATGCCTGGAGTGAGTTTCAAGCCACTGGTTCTGAGACTCGAACTGCAGCCTGCCATATGGGAGTCCAGCAACGCATCCACTAGGCCATCTGATGGCCCCTCAAGTCACTCTTAAAACCACTTTGGAGAGGGTATAAAATAATTCACCAGTCAAGGCGGGGCTGGCCCAAGTGTGCCAGCTCCTCTGGAGTCCTCGCTTCCTGGACTTATAGGTGCGAGTTTGACCTACTGTCCAGTTATTAGAAAGTGGAAGTTCTCTCCCCACTTCAAGTACAAGGAGAGGTTTCATCTGCAAAGCATGGGGTAGCTACATGTTGGGTTTCCCCTCTGTCCGAGGACCCACTATCCCACACTGATTGAAAAACATAGCTATTTTAAACTTGTTTTCGGTGATATGAATAACCCCTCCCAACTTAATGGCTTTACGAGGAATTTTTCTTAAAGCTGAACATATCTGTTAGTTCTAAACTTTAATGTCTGAGCAATATGAATATGAATATGGCTTTACGAGGAATTTTTCTTAAAGCTGAACATATCTGTTAGTTCTAAACTTTAATGTCTGAGCAGTGGGCAACTGCTGCATTTCTGATTTTGTGTCACGTGAACAAGTCCAAGTCCACTGATGAACATCAGAGTTGGAATGCTATACTTTTCCCAGCGACTAGCAGTAAAATAATCCCATAGGCACATTTTACAGATGCACTGACCGGAAGCCAAAATAGCCACCTCCTCCGGTAACAAGGACAGCTTCCTTCGGAGATATCTGGGGGTCCATGTGTGGCAACGAGACAGTAACTGACCTATCGGAAGGAAGAATATGCAACACTATTATGATCCAGATGCAAACGTGATTCGACCGAAGCTGAGTCAGCAGACAGACTGACACTGTGCTCTGGGATGGAAAGCTAAGTCCTGGAGTCTAGTCACAGCTTATGAGATTAGCCATCTCCCCCAACTCCTGGGCTTCCGATGTCTTCATCACAACAGGCAAGGCAGTGTGTGTCGTCTACCTGACAAAGTCAAGGTGAAGACCTAGTGAAATAACAAAACCACGCAACGCTTTTCAGGGTGTTACTCATTCTTGAAAAAGATTAGAGCTTTTTTTTTTTTTTTTTTTTTTTTAACAATTCATTTAAATTTGGTAGGAAAAGGCATTTTTCCTCACACAACAGACAAGTCAGAGAGAGAATGCTAAAGAAAGCTTCCAACACCTTTGGCTGAGAGCGGTACAAGGCGGCATGGTTTAATGCTGCATCACTGGGTCTATACTTAAAAATGGAGTGGGGGCTCCTTCATGCAGCAAACTATGGCATCTCCTCCCTCCCCTTGGAAACCGTGCAAATACTCCAACTGCAAGTGCTCACTGCCTTTGGAGTTCCTGCTTCTCTCCCTCTTCTTTTGTGCCCTCCCTCCTAAACAATCCACTTGAGGTCCCAAGAGCCCCCTTCTCTTGATATTGAAACATAAAAAGTGGGCCACCCAACTCCTACTAGGAAAGGAGCAGAATGGAGTGTACTCTCAGGTTCACAGACTCAGAGCTGTGAGCAGGCAGGGAGACGGAAAACAACCAAGAGCCCAACACTGCCCCTCCAGGCTGGGTGCCCATGACCACGGCCACCACACGGCTATGTGGATTTATTAGTTTTGAAGAGTTTTTTTTTGCTATAGGGCACATGCACTTGCCAGAAAGACAGAGAGAGATAGAGAGACAGAAAGTGAGAAATCACCCCCCAGAGGGATGGCCACACTACAATCCCTTTTCCTCCATTCTCCTCTCAGGATCTTGGGCATGCATGCACATGCACACCGTGTGTGTTTAAGCCACCGGGTCTGGGACTCGAAC